CCCCAAAACCCCAAAACCCCAAAACCCCAATATCCATCTAGCAGTTGAAAACGTAATTAGTGATAGAAAGTCTTTCTTCCAGATTTAAGTCTTTTGCCACGATTCTCACTTTTAAGTTTTAAGCCAGAGAAATCTTTTTGCTTCTTTCCCTCTAATAATAGCTGATCGTTCTTAGTAGAGGATCTGTTGATATTTCCATCTTGCTGATCCATCATCTCTTTGGAACTAGAATCCCTAAAAAGTTGGAGGGTGTTAGTTCTGAGATAAGATGAGCCTAAGAAAGTCATTGTTTTCCTCACTCCTTCAGCTTTCGTGTTAAGAGAAATTTGTGGGTTATCGTCATCACTAATGGACATTGAATCACTCTTAGATTGCTCTTTTTCAAGAGGAGTTTCTTTACTTTCTTCAACTACGTGGTATTGGTTAGAGGGTGAAGGTGTTTCAGATTTATCATTGCAATACAGCTCGGGTTCAGCTGAAGAATCCATTAATTCTTTTTCTTCTTCATGGTCGCTAGGAAGCTCATTGTATTCAAATTTTGGGATATCTTCTCTTTCAACTCATTGACGATGCTCTGTAGAAGAGAATACATTCACTTTAGATAGGATATTTGCTTGATCATGATCTTGATTGTTATCTTGATCGTTGTCTTGATTGATATTTTGGTCGCTATCTTGATTGCTATCTTGGTCGCTATCTTGATTGCTATCTTGGTTGCTATCTTGGTTGCTATCTTGGTGGCTATCTTGGTTGCTATCTTGGTTGCAATCTTGGTCGCTATCTTGGTCGCTATCTTTATAATTATTTTGGTCATGATCATATACTTGATCATTATCCGCATCACCAATATAACAATGATCTTGACCATAACCTTCCCCAAGCCTTTCTTTCAATCCCTCTACCTTATCCAAAGAACCATTTCCAAACTCCTTCTGTTCCTCCAACCTCTCCAAATCTCCCTCCTTCAGCTTCCCCTAAACCAACATCACCACCCTAATCCCTTACCTCCCCCATCGACTCAAACTCAACCACCTCTGCACCCTCCCCTATACTCCAGCTCTTCTCTTCATCCCCTTCTTCCTCCCCTACATCCTCTTCATGGTCAACAAATTCTACGCCTTCAGGCATCTGAGCGTCAGAGTTTCCGTCCTTTATAGAGATTTGGTAGTCATTGTACTCTGAGGAGTCTGAAACTGACTTTTCAAATGAAATATTGATTGGGGTAGAAGCTTGAGCTTCCTCATTTTTTGTTGGTTTAGTTTCCGCCACCTCTTTGCTAGATATTATTTCTTCGAAATGGCGAGATTTCAGCTTTCTCTTTTTCTCTAAAAAATTGTAAATATTTAAGGAATTTAATTTAAAAAGACTTATGAGACGAATCTTTATGAGGTAGAAAATTAAAATTGGTTCATGATGTTAAATAATGTTTTAATATCAAGAAGCTGTTTGGAGCAAATGAATTAATTTCTAAATATACCTTTGTTGGTATTTCCTCTTTGCGAATGACCAGCCTTCCCTTTAGCTCCTGCCACTTGATCTTCTGTAAACCATTTTAGAATATTGGACTTAAAATTTCACAAAAATTTTCAAAATTGAAATGGGGTATTTTCAAGAAAATTCTTGGATTAATTATTATTCCTATCCACAGAGACACTTTGGCTCAAAGAATTCGTTCTGCTACAATCTCCCATTCTCTTATCGATCCATTCTCTTTGAGCAGTTTCTGTAGTTTTCTTTAAATAATTATTTATAGCAGCTTCTTCTTCAGTAATACCTGTGATCTCTCTCAATTTTTTATCAAGAACTTCTTTTAGATTCTGTTTCTTTCCAAACATTTTAGGAGGAGGAACACCCTCAGACTCTTCTGCTAATTCATAAAATAAGAATTAATAGAATATTCTGGAGTTTTTAATACCAATTCAACTTGACCTACTTCCATTTTTCTGAGACTTTTTAGACTCTATAAGAAATGGATGAGCTCACCAGCTTGGATATCCACCAAAAGAAAGACAGATAAATCCAAAATTAAATGACTTGTATAAAGGAACTTCAAAACATTAAGGAACTTACTATCTTTGTCTTTTCTTTTCCTATCTCCAAGGTCTACTGGAGGATCTCTAGAGGTATAAGCTGGTAATTACTCCTTTCTTTCTGTTCAGCAGCAGTCACCCATATAATAAATAAATCTTTATCTATTTTGAAAGGGGTTTTGGGGTTTTGGGGTTTTGGGG